TTATGAAGACTGTTACAGTGTATGGTTGTTGTTAGTAATATATGTTATAGTGGTGTTTACAGTTAAGTTTAGTGTTACCGGTGATGTTTTGTGTTTAAGTCACAGTTGTACGAGATTAGTGTTTCTATGGTGTACACATATGTAAAGTGTATATATGCAGATACCATGGAGCCTCTAAACTGAAGGAAAAATCGCTGGGACTTTCGCAAGTGGATAAGAAACTTCTACGTGCGGACAATAAACCACATTACAAAATGAAAACTGCAACGCTCGTGTACGGGAACGCTTTCCCGTGCGCGCAGGAGAATGTTGTTCGCACGCAGGTTTTTCCGTTCACGAGTTTTGCAAGTTTGTCTTGGCCTGTTTTTTCTTTCTTTCTTTCTTTTTTTTTTACTTGTAAATGTCGCTTCAAAGGCTAATATTTCTCATGTCGCTACATGTGCGTCTTGTTGTAAGATGTAGGTAAATTAAAACAAAATGTTGTATTGTAAAAAAGAACTAAATAAAAAACGGCTTTTTTTTCCCCCTTTTCTTTGAGGAACCCAAATAGTACTTCAATGGCATCACGGCAAAAAAAAAAAAACGTATATAAAAAGTATAAAATAAAAATAAATAAAATAAAGAAATAAAAATTTTGTAAACTTTATTTTTAGGAGTGTAGATGTGGTTCGCTTTGTTCACTTTACAAAAAATGAGTACACTCAACTCGAGATAGATAAATGTAGGCTACAAACACTTACCTTAAAAAAGTAGTAAATTCAAAAAGGCCCTTTTCATTGTTGGTCATGTGGATATAAGTTTCTTGCTTTCAAGAGAAGGGAATTAAAGCACAATTTGAAGGCAGGAGATTATAAATAGCCATTCAGATGATCATGAGAGGCACACCTAACATGTCTATTTGGGATTTCTGAAAGGAAGCCAAGGATTATAAATGAATAATATTTTAAATGATGTGTCTCTGAAATGTAAGCCTTTGGCTCTCTGTTGGTACCATGCCAAATTTGAGCAGAAGCCTGCAAAACAGAAGCACATCTGCACGGCAATCTGAACAAAACCTGCCAAACATTTCCAATTTGATGGGGGAGAGAGAAAAAGATCCGTGAGAAGAGAGAGATCAAAGCAGGAAGAGTGTGGAAGAGAGAAGGGAGAGAGATTGGAGGGGGAGGACTGTTGGGAGAGAAGAAAGATGATGAAACACTTTTTGCAGAGTAATATTTTCCAACAAAACCCTACCATTCATCCACATATATCAGTCATCAGAATCCAAACAAATGTTTCTCTCTCTTTCGTTCTCGGAAAGCCTGCCCTCACCGCACGGCCTTCATTCCACCGCTGCCGGCAAGACTCTCTCGTTCATCCATCTTTTCCAAAGTACTCTCCTTCCCTTCTTGTCATTCACTCCCTCCCTCCATCTCGCACTCTCCCTCAGCGCGCACTAAACAAATAACGATTGTATTTATCTCTATCATTCTCTCCATTTTCCTTTCCTCGCTCTTGTTTTCTTGCTCCCTCGTTCAATATTTCATGTGGTTGAGAGCGTATCTATTCCAAGCTTGCTCTCCGCCGCCTCCCCTTCCTCCCCAGTCGTTAAAAAAATCATTTTTTCTCTCCACATCATTCTTTCGGTCTACTTCCTTTCCCTCCATTTCTATAAATCTTTCTCTCTCCCACTTCATCCCTGATGTTCTGTGTCCCATTTTTGCTCTCCGGCTCTTTGGCTTTCCGTGACTGGACAATGTCCACTTCATTTATGCAAAGAGGTTCTTAGCCAGCGTGCCTTCTCTTTTCTCCATTGTTTGGCAAACAACACACACACACACACACACACACACGCACGCGCACAGGCTTTTCTGTTTTTCCACTTCTTTCATTGTTATACTCTTTTCTTCTTTTCGCCGGTCTTTCTTACTAATATCTCTCCGTCTGTTTCTTGATCTACTTGTCTCTCTCTTACTCTCTCTTATGTGTGCTCTATCTGTGTCAGTGTTGTTTTAGGCACAGCAGTGGAAGGTAAACAGTGAGATTGAAAATTCATGTCAGACAGATGAGTGAGAGGAAGGGAGAGCGAAGGAGGGAAGGAGAGTGACAGAAAGAGAGAGAGAGAGAGAGACAGCATGTGTGAAGGGCCACTTTTGCTTCTTAATTTTGAAACAAAGAAGCTCATAATCGGTCCTGAAAAGCCACAAATTGTGAAAGTGCACTTAAAGGAATATTGCGGGTTAAATACTATCACTTGAGTTCTACGGAAAAGCTGTTGAGAATGCTGTCGATTACTACAGGTGATAAATTTGACTTGTTCCTTTAGTTTGTTAAAAAAAAAGATATCCAATTCACTGAAATATGGTTCAATGTGGAAAAAGAAAAAAAGAGAGAAAGAATGGAAAACACATTACAGTAATGCACTTACAATGGAAGCTGGCAGCCAAGTGTTCAAGAGAGGATAAAGCAGAAATGTGAAGTTTGACATTTTTAAAGCAGAAATTCATCAGTCAAAAAGGTATAGGGTATAGTAGACAAGATTAATGTGTAATTTGTAAATGTTATAGTTTTATGCCACACAATAGAAACACTGCTACACTCGAACTGCAAACTTGTTTTCTATTGTTTTAAAGCTAATTATTTTCTGTTGCAGCTGACCACAGTTGTATTATATCTGGAATATTCTTAAATAGCCATTTTACATGTGCTAGATTCCCATGGTGTGATATTTTAAATGAGATTTGGGAACTTGGGTAAGTGCTGCAAATATAAATCGACATTCTTATACAACAGTCTACAGAGCCTATTCCAGTCTGCCCCGATGTCTTCAGCGTGACGGTGATGCCGCATCACCTCCCAGTCACAGGGAGAGAACTTCCGTGCCATAAGGTCAGCCGTTCAGCCAGATGTGTTTGTGTTTTAGTTGGGTAGTTTATATTTGAAAGCAAATCAAAGTTGGGCAAGAGCTGAATGTTCTATCAGATTGAAGGCTATGAGTGTGTGGAGATTGGATTTGAGAGCGAGAACCGGCCATGTGACAGATCGAGCCGAGCAGGAACTCCCCGAGCTAAATGTCATAAGGGCCACAGTGTCACGGGGCCTGAAAATGATACACTACCATTTTTCATCATCTGCTCCTGAGACAGAGAGAAACATTTGAATTGGGAGGCAGTATTGCAAATGAAAGATGTTTTATGAAAACTGACAATAGCCCGTCATGGTTATATAAAATGGTTTGAATCGTCGTAAATAAAGAAATTAAAAAAGGGTGGAATAGAAAGGATATGTAAATCTCTCACTCTAGGGGGGAGCGCACAACTGACTTGCTTGAATATTACAATTTAGGAGCTATTTATGATTGCAAATTTCAAACTCAATTTGCAACATACTTAAAATACATGGTATCTTAGTGTGTGAAGGGGGTGATGAAGAGGGAATATTTTCCTCTAGACTTACCATACCAATTAACATTTTTTTTGCTCGAGACCCAAAACTTGTGTGCTGACAGGGTGAAGGAACGACTGTTGAAAATAGGAGTGAAATATTTTGTCGCTGTCATAGAAACTCTGGCGGAGAGAAAGATGTCAGGCCGATGAGAGTGAGGCACACAAAGAGGTGACAGAGTATAGATCACAAGAGAGTGAGCGAACAAAAGGACAGAAATAGACTTCGAAAAAGTCAATGTAGCTTGACACAATCCATGTAGGGTGAAGACAGGAGGAGCTGGCAAATGTGTATATGTGTGTGAAAGAGGGAAAAGACAAAAAGACAGAGGGATTCCCCTGTGACACCTAATCTCTTCCTCTCTTTCTCACTGTCCTCTCTTCCTCTATTCCCTCCTTTTCTCCCAATAAATCATTTTGACTTCTCCTTAACCAACTCATTCCCAGCAGACGGGAGGCAAACTGCAACTATCCCTCCTCTGCAACTCTCTCCTTCCTCTCGCTTGCTCGCTTTTTCTCATTCCTAAAAAAAAGAAACCCTAAAAAACCAAAAACTATCACGGCTATCACCAAGGCAATGTGTCTTAAGGCATCATGACATCGACCGTCATGTAATAAATATTACATAGCACGTTTCCCTCTAACTATCTTCAACTATTTCTGTATTAGTGCATTATCTATTCACCTGTATTTCTAGATACATCCCTGATAGACAGACAGACAGACAGATAGATCAGGGTTTTAAGGTCTGCATAACAAAACCAGCCCAACTGAAAATAGCTATCAAATTCTGGAGGGTCAAAACCACCAGGGGGTTCCACCTTGGTCAAAATCATGTTCCAGGGCAACCCCGTGGCATCAGTATAAAAGTAGCCCAATTCAGTGGGAAAGCTGTGGACTTGCCAACACTGAGATGATGATAGATAGATAGATAGATAGATAGATAGATAGGGGTTTGTGTATGTGTGCACAGGTGTACATAATTATGGCAGGCCTGACAGGAGGGACACATACATAAAACAAATGGCACGTGCGCACACAGGAACAGGAGAGACTGATTGCTATCATATGAACATTTAACATCAGCTCAACATCCTTTATATGTGGATGAGTAGATCCCATGAGTGAAGGACAGAGATAGAGATGAGCCAATCCATCAATCCATTCTCCTTCCTAAGAGGATTTCCCATAATTATTCCATATTAGAAAAGACTTACACTGGAGAGAGAGAGAGAGAGAGAGAGAGAGAGAGAGAGAGCACAGAAGGATGGAGGTTTGCTTATAATAGGATATAAAGCACTGCACTCTGACAGACAGTAAGAGGGTTGTGCTGGTAGGTAATTAAAACTGCACTAGGAACGGTCTCCGTCGTAATGGTTTACTGATATAAAATAAAGTTTTTCTCGTCCGTTGCGAGAGCAGCTGTCTGAAAGCATCTCTGAAAGACTGAGAGCTGGAGCCAGTGGACGCGCGCTTTTGTCCTGGGCAGGAGGCGGAGCTGGTGACTGAACTAGCACAGCCTACCAAACAGTGTGTGTGTGTGAGAGAGAGAGAGAGCGCAGAGCGGTGGATATGGCCAAAGAGAGCGAATAAAACTCGCTCGAGCACTTGTTCGGCACACAATTGCAAGTGTGAAACATCCCGCAGCCGCGTGCAGGATTCTCCACGCGCATTTTACCAGATACGATCTTACGAGCAGCATCAACAAAAGAGAATATTAGTTTTACAATCAAGGAGCCTCGTTGCCTCCCGAGTTTCTCCAACGCTACGGGAGGACACGCTTCTCTTTCCCGCATTTAAACTCCTAGCACCCGACTGCCTGCATCATTCTGCTCCGACCGCAGAGATCCATCAGCGCGCGAACAGCGCTGGTCTCGTGTCGGACTATAGGATTTGGGTTGACGCCATGGGGACAAAGGGAGGGGGTCTTCGCCATGGATTCTGACTTTTAAAAAACTTAATATAAACCTATAGATTGCGAAACCCCTATAGAAGTAATTGAGCGAGCTGCGCTTTAGGTCGCATCTCTTCCTGCCCTTCTTCGCCGAACGGGATGGTTCCAGCGCAGCGTCGCGTGGGGTGAGAAGATCTTGCAAGACTGGGAAGAAAAGCGAGAGATCGAGGGATTATGGCACTCTACGCGCTCTGTCTTTTTATTCTAACGCTCACCTGCACGAACTTTGACCTGGTGATTGCAGCCAGGCACGCGGTACACTGGAACAGTTCAAACATACTGTAAGTCGTCTTTTTAATCGTAATTTTCACGATAATAAGGCATCATTTTATAGAAAATACATTTAAATAGATTTCAAAAAATGCTTGAAAAATATGCTTTTTGAGATGGTTCATGTTTTTTGTGTATTGTGAGTGTTTGTGCACATCTCTGTATGACTATAAGCAATGCAGGTATTTGTTTTGGTAATAGGCTTTGTGTTATTTTTTTCTTTAAGTGATATATTTAAGTAGGAGTGATATATTTTCTAGATCTCTTGATCTTGAAAACAACCACATGTAGGTTAGGTAGATGTTTGCTGAATATGAGTGCTTTGTAATCCTCAGAATTTTGTAGTCCTCAGAACTTTGTAGTCATAAGCTGTAGAGCTCATCTGAGGTCTTTTTGTCAATTACTTTAGTAAAAATAAAAAACAAAAAACAAAGCAGTTATGCCTCAAGCCCCAACTGTAATGTCAAAGTCGACCAAATATGTAGTAATGATCTTTGTAAACTGTAGTCATAAGCTGTAGAGCTCATCTGAGGTCTTTTTGTCAATTACTTTAGTAAAAATAAAAAAAACAAAACAAAGCAGAGTTATGCCTCAAGCCCCAACTGTAATGTCAAAGTCGACCAAATATGTAGTAATGATCTTTGTAAACTAATGATGTTGCATACTGACATGACAAAGAGAGACCTGTATAGTTTCTTATCTGCTGTATGTTGTAGAGATTTGGTCAGGTTTGTGCTTTTGTCCTCACAGAACCTCTCTCTCTACTCGTGTGTCTCTTTCCATCACTTCTCCGTTCTCTCGCACTCCTGCATGTTTCTCTCAGGGAGTCTCTGTCTGTTTCTCCCCCTCTGCTTTTTCGTTCTCCTCCCTCTTTCAGCATCATACATGGAGCCCGGTCTAGTCCTCTGTTTCTTTTCATTCCATCTGCTGTAATTAGCTAATATTTTTCAAAACAACCTCAATATGCCTGCATTGTGACACCATTCAATCTCAGCATCTCTCACTGTCTCTTACACACACACACACACATTCTCTCTGTCTCTCTTTCTCTCACACACATACACACTTTATTTTTTGACTTCATATTAGAATGGATGAGGTTGGTTTAGTCACGGTTAGGTATGTCGGCTTTGACTGAACGGTAAATTAGAGCAACAGTGGGGATATAAATGAGTGTGTTGGTGCATCAGTCTGTGATCTGGCTCTACTGGTTGTAAAACCTATGAAATAATGCAGAAGTTGACCTATAGTTTACAGGTACTGTTCACACTAATAAGTAGCTTGGGGCAGAATACAAATTTGGCCTAAATTAAAATCAAATTAAACACATGCACCAGCAGCAGCCCACCTGCATGAGAGCTTCACATTTATCGGTCTTAATCTCAATCTAAATCACTCACTCACTTTTCACACATTTTACAGAGGTTATCTGTGATGAAAATCTGGAACCTTTTTAAGCTGGCACACACGGTACAATTTTTACAGCCATTGGAGGTACTAAAAATTGTACCGTGTGTGCCTAGATATGATCATTTAGCCCCTCTTTGAGTTTCACCCCTATGCAGTTTGCAGACCCCACTTTCCGTCTCTGTATATATTATCATTTATATTTTACTTATAGGGCTATATGATAATCATGCTTGAACATAGCCATGTGACTGGCTACAAATTTCTGTGTTCATAGGAGGACAGAACTCACACATTCCCCATAAATTATTGATTTTATCCTATTACAGCCATGCAAATGCAAACATTTACAGTCTGAATAGTGATAAAGAGCGATAATTTTGCCGTACAATAGTGGTTCTCAACCAAGCGGGCCAGGACCCACTAGGGGGCCTCAGCAAATTCCAAGAGGGCTGAAGGATGACTTAAAATTATTTAAATGAATATAGTATTATTATTAATACAATGAATATTAATCAATTAAAATAAATATGATTGTCTTTGTGGCCAAAATCATACAGTGTGAACATTGTCTTTAACGTTAATCACACATGCTAATGGAAAAGCTACATTTACAGACATTTTTAGTGTGTTTTGCGCTGAATTTTGCACTATATCTGCGCCATGTGCTTTTCCATTCACACCAGAGTGCTGTGCAGAGAAATGAAAAGTGCTTCTTCCACCCAGTTTCAGCATACTGAGAAAGCTGCCTAACTGCATTAGCATCGGTAGCAGCACGGGGCGAATATGCTATACGTGATAAAACCAAATTAAACTGGCTTATTTTCATGGATTAAGTTTAATAAGACTTCTACAGCTAATGCCATTACACACTTTCGGCCCACTGCACAGTAGAAAGTATGGACATTAACCCCGTTTTACTACGAGCTACAGTGTTCCCCATTATTTCTGCAAGATGTGTTCTAGGAAGAGTGTACTTCATTTTGGTAAAAACGTGTGAGGGGAAATTAGCCTGTGAGCTTGCATTATCAGTGTGTATGTGTGACTTCCCTCTCTCTCTCTCTCTCTCCATAACTGCTCTGCAACACTGATGACACACTGTTACCTCAGCTTGGCCTAGTTATACAGCACAGAGAAAGAGAGAGAGAGTGATTTAGAGCTGATATTAAAGCATTGTATTGCTGAATGTCGCTCTATATTCTCATGCTATACATATGCTTATTATCAGGGATCAGAGCCTAAATGTAGCACAGGATGTTAATAGCTGTAATAGCTGTGGTCAGTGTGCTGAATCTGGGTCTGTAGCCAAAGCTGCACAGTCACTCCGTCTCTCCTCACTGTGGACCAGACCGAACAAGCTAGTATTCTGGTGTTTTGACTCGGGGGTGTGATATGGCACGAGTGTGTGTGAGTGTTCTACAACTAAACGTCTTTGTTTCAAACAGAGCACGTTTGGTGTAAACAGTAAGAGAAGTGCCGTTGGCTATGAGGTAAAAAACAAAAACAAAGCAACCAGACCACTGCCTCTAAGAGAGTTATAGCTGAGAGTGTACCTTCAGCTCGCACACGTACACACACTGACAATTACTAAGCGCGGAGTGGGCAGTGATCCTAACGGCCCTAAACTCTCGCTCCAGTGATGCGCATCCCAGAAAAAAATGCAGAACCCTCTCAGACGCATAATTGAGAAAAAGGTTTGAATAAATACATACGAACCACCGGTTTTCCTGGGCGAACAAACATCTCTGCTGACGAAAGGATAGATTCTGTTTTCACATTCTGAGTGAATGCTCCATTATAGTCACATGAGGGAACTCTGTGGTTTATATGGTATGTAATTGAGAAAAAACACTGTGAACACATGTGTAATGTTAGTAGAGGTGAAGTGAGTGTGGACTTCAGGGGGAACAGCTCCGCTCTGTTAAAGCACAATCACAGAACAAGAGTGGAAAACTAAAACAGAAATACTCGAATAGGACTCCTGAAAAGCATTACTACAACCCAGTGTTGGGTTAAACTGTGGGGCCTACAAAATTTTGTTTTTGTGGTAACATCAAACTTAACCGGAGTTAAAAACTGGTTCAGCTGAATCAACCACATTAGGTTTCATGAATGACATCTAAAGGTTAGAACAACTAAGGTGACTTCATGTTTTTTCCTTTTTTCAGTGCTTTACAGTGCTGTTAGGAATTATATAAGATCAGTGTGTGAATTGCACAATAAATCTGGTGTCGGGGTGGGGGCAGGGGGTTGAGTAAGTGTTGACATTTTAAAAATAATTTCTATTTAATTTTTAGGGCACAATCTGGGAAGCTTCGATGAGCACAATCCAAATGATCTTTTGGCGCCCCTTAAAGACTTTTTTAAAGATGCGTTCAGTAGCTCTTTAGCTAGCATTAGCATCAATGTCCATATACTATAATGACGGATACCACATTCATATGATCGTTCATCGTCATCTTTGAACGTGGAGTTTTATATATATATTTGACGGACACTAAAGAGTACTACGATATTTTTTTTGTCCCCAAATCTTTCCACCATGTGTTTGCCGTAATGATGTTTACATTGTTTTTGTTTTTTTTTGTTCTTTGTCTTCGGCCTTTAGACAGTTTAGACAGTAGACTGCTTTTTTGGCCATTCAGGTACTGATTCTCCTGTTGTCTCTGCTGGCAAAGTACCATAACAACTGCTTGTATAATTTTCACATTTCGCATCATCAAACAGCACTATGCTGTAGTGAATCTACAGAAGTGGCAGCCGATAAGCACGAAGAGAGTTTAGTAAAGCACAGCAAGTCATGTAATTTCTCTATGGACTGTATATAATTAAAACACATAGAAAACAATTATGAGTACAGTCTTCATCTCATATGAGTGTACACCATTCAGATGAATCTGGAGTTTTATATATATATTTGACAGACACTAAAGAGTACTACGATATTTTTTTTGTCCCCAAATCTTTCCACCATGTGTTTGCCGTAATGATGTTTACATTGTTTTTTTTTTTTTTTGTTCTTTGTCTTCGGCCTTTAGACAGTTTAGACAGTAAACTGCTTTTTTGGCCATTCAGGTACTGATTCTCCTGTTGTCTCTGCTGGCAAAGTACCATAACAACTGCTTGTATAATTTTCACATTTCGCATCATCAAACAGCACTATGCTGTAGTGAATCTACAGAAGTGGCAGCCGATAAGCACGAAGAGAGTTTAGTAAAGCACAGCAAGTCATGTAATTTCTCTATGGACTGTATATAATTAAAACACATAGAAAACAATTATGAGTACAGTCTTCATCTCATATGAGTGTACACCATTCAGATGAATCTTCACAGAGTTTATTTCTTAATGTTTAAAAATTAAAAAATAGCACCAAACTACAGAATGCACCTTTAATGTTTTTGTGATGTTTTTCTTTATATATAAATCTATATTGTAAGATATTATGACAGCATTTGTTTTGTCAGTGTTCCATCCGGTAATGATCCTAATGGAAAGTACTGGAGCAAACAACTGTTTCTATGGTTACCACAGGGCAGGCGAACATGTTTTTGTTTAAAAGCATTTATTTAGCCTACTGCTAGGTGAAATTCATGGTCTGACT